CACGTTTCAGGTGTTTTACAGCACCCATGGTCACATGGCCTACCTAACTTGGTACCTATCGATTAGATACTCATTAATAAATTGAACCGACTGACAGATATTTTAATGTATTTCAGGGCTTTGAATTTGGATCGGTCCAACCGTCATATTAACAAGTACAGCATCACTCAGTAATACACTACACACCTGCGGTACGAAGCGAGCGCAACGACGTAAAATGATGCGGAAACACCAATTTCACCCTACTCATATTACCCTCTCGTACTAAAGTGCATAATTTAAACTTACCTTCTCAACAAAAATAATTTCTAGTATACATACTTGTCAAAAATTGTGTGTGTAAAAGTGCTACAAAAGAATAACGGCAAAGTTTAACGCAGCAGGTCACGCTTCAACTTCTATTTTTACTTGAACTTGAAAATATGATTTTATAACCAGTGTGTGTTGCCAGAGAGGACTGATTGAACATATGAGGAAGTCAAAAGTCTCTTAACGCGCTATGGCTATACTTGGAGTTTCTCTGCAAAATAAAATTTGAAATAGGTAACTATATACGCAGTAGAACCAGAGTATCATAGCCCCCCCCCCTGGGGGGCTATGATGAAAGTTCAAAAACAGCCATGTCATTCAAATTAAAACTACTTGAATTGTTCCAAGGATTAATCCATTTCGATAAGTGAAATGAAAATCGTTGAAGTAAAAGGTTTCATGATTAATATGTACTCAGTCGGTAATGTTTACGTTTTGTTTCGCTGTACAAAACAGTCTTGTCAGGGCTCATTAACCCTACCCTAGTCCACCTCTCTGTTCATTCATTCGTCCAACGATCACCTGGGGACCTTTGTCTTTCGGATAATTTACGTCGATTTTTGTGTACTTTTCTTTCTGATTAGGGTTAAGTAAGCGTAAAATTGCTTAAAAGGTAAGTCTAAATCCTATTTTAAACCTGTATGGTTATTTTTAAATTACTTATTTAGAAACAGTTATAAATAGCGACTCAACTATGAATTGTTTGTGTAGTACTCGCGTGGCAACTGTGGTAAAATCCCACCTTGAGGCTATCTGTGGCATTAGCATATGTTCAGCAGTGGACTTTTACGGGCTGCAATGGATGAAATATTTATTTATTTAAAATCTTTATTGCACTTAAAATGTACAAATGGCGTACTTAATGCCTTTAGGCATTCTCTACCAGTCAACCACGAGCTCAGCAGAGAACTTTAGCAGGTAAGGTCGGTGGGATTTTGGTACACACAGACTGCACCTTGCCACTTAGTTTGCCAATTAATTGATATAATTTTTCAGCATTCGATAAAAAGGGATTAATATGTATAGCGTCTTGAAAGCTATTATTAAATAACGGCCAAGTTTTAATATCATTATTAAATATTGGGATATCGATAGGTGGCAATCTAGGTGAGTCGCGTGAGTGCACTTGAACTGCTGGCTTTACGTCACCCTGACCTACAGGCTGAAGCTGCCTGGCTGCTCGCTTCACGCAGCACAATAAATCATGGAAAGCCGTAAGTGATTGATAATTCACTACATAATCGAGTATAATTTGCAGTTCAAGACTATTCATTTTGTCAAACAAATTCTAATAATCAAATCGCAATGAATCTATTATTTTTATTTCACACAAGAATGGTTCCTGAACTATTTCTCAAGTTAAGATTTTTTTGTATGGTCACAAATATTCTGTATACGAGTAAACAAGATGTGTCTTTTAGCTTAAAAGGCTTTAAGTCGCATTTCATTTGGATTTATGCCATCTTGCAGTACAATGATTAAAATTAAACAAAAAAAAAAACAAAAAAATCGCGTATCGTTGGAGAACAGAAATCAGCGAATCTACGTTTAAGTTGTTAATTATTACCCGGCGTCATATCTATTCTAAACTTCAACAATTCAGGCAACGTTCAGCTAGCCATACGTTACTGTTCCACAAAATAATATTAAATCAATACGCTTTGCAACGAGTAAATTTTCTAAGTGGGTAATTACACAACGAGATGCAACGATTTCAAATAAACGCGCCGTTTATTTTTACGTTGTGGGTAAATGCAAAGGCTTTCAAACTATATATAAACTATTAGCAATTATAAATTCAATAATATGGCGTACAGTACCCCAGTTGTGCTAAGTGAAACCAAATCTATTTAGGAATCTAGGCGCGACCAAACTAAAGTACATTGTCCAAATCTCGGTTCAGCAGTTCGACACAATCAGGCCACAAGACGCCAGTTCCAAATCCACAGGGCGCTGTCACAGCCAAGATCGCACTCCTCGCGCGATGGTCGAGCGGCGGCGACACACTTCGATCACTCTGCTCGGTCGGCGGCGTACATCCAACCTTTCAATTTTGCGTAGCTCCCTCGCATTGGGTTAAAGAATGAGCCCTCCCATTGGGCATGCCCATGCGGGAAGGAAAGGGAAGTAAAATGGAAGGTTATTGCCGATTAATGTAGTCGATCGAATGTACGTTTTGGCGCAAACAAATACCAATCCGATAGATTTAACCAAAACAAATACAAATTTTTGGCTTTATCTATAAAGATAAAGAAAAAAATAAACAAAAAAGTAGATGGATGGAAACAATGGTTAATCAGAAACAGATGTATGAAAAAAATTAACCTTACATCTTTTTCTACGGCCGATGTAACAATGTAACGAATAATTCAGAAATAATGAAGAGAAAATATTTTAAAAATGCGTAAAACTATAATATATTTCAAGTAAAAGAAAATGTTGGTTAAATCTTGGATTTGCTTTTCTTGTGTCTTAAAAAACTTCACGATAAAACCAATTCTGTATTCCCAGAAACAAACTCCGACTTATTAAATGGGGTTCAAGGACATATTCTAGAAATATTTTATTTAAACATTGCTTTTGTTATCTTTTATAAGCTTGGATTGAACTAAATTTTACGTTTATAATACCCGGAACTAATATGTAAGTTTACTTTATTATGCATAAGTTGATACAATAATATTGTTACGAGCTTGAGGTTCGTGACAATAAAATTGCCGATAGAATTACCTAAATTAACCTTTTAATTCACTTTACACTAATTAAACTTAAAACACTAATAATTAATCACACTGATTCACTTTATTCCGCTCCGAAGCTTTGCTTGTCTCGCCAAATTCAATACTTCCCCGATCGCATCTTGCAGCGCCTATAAATACAAATTAGCACCGAAACATCCAGAATATTCAAGTTAACACGCGCAAGGGGCCGAGAGTTCGAGAGTCGACTTGTAGAAGCTTAGTTCTTTGTTCCGAGACTAGATGGCGCTGTCGGTTGAAAGATTCGTGATGTCATTTTCTGGAAAGCTCCCCTCGCTCTCGTCCCTGACACTAGATGGCGCTAGTGCCGGATACATGACGTCGACTTATTCGCGCAACACTATCTTATTATGAAAATTGTGAAAGACTATGAATAACACCCGTACTTACTAACCGGCTTGTGATTTAGTGAAGAATATAAAAGGTAAAAATCTTAGAAAATACTCAGAGAAAGCATAACTTGTCTCTATGTCCATAGTTATATACCGTTTAAGAACTTCAATATTGTTAAATTTATTTGTACATTTGTTAGTTTTCTTTTGTGCTCTTTAGGTTTTTTTTTTCTCTATTTTTTAAAACGTTACCCCTACGTTGATCTTCTCCTGTATCGTGGGGGCAGTTTACAAACATAAATTTCACAAGGACAAACATCCAGACCCGGTACAATTATTCGTAAGCCATACAAATACTTGTTCCGCGCGGGATTCGAACCCACGACCCCCAGCGCAGCCACTCATTGCTAAGCCACTGCGCCACGGAGTCGTCAAAGTTAATACGGAGTCGATGTAGTTAATAAATCTTATTTATTTTATTTTTATTTTTTTACCCGACTGCCAAGGAACTGTTATGTTTTTAGCGCGTATCGTGTATGTTTCTAAATTTCTTTATTACGTTATATCTTCCAAACAGCTGGATGGATTTCGACAATTAAGGTATCGTTCTCCCAAAACTCAAATTTTCTTAGATAGGTCTTTTTTAATAAAAAAGTGGCAGTATTTTGGCGCAAAATCGTAATACGGTAATAAAAAAAAATACTAAATTAATCGAATAAGGTATCAAATAAAGTAAATTAATAAGGAAATCACATTATATATATATATATATATATATATATATATATATATATATATATATATATATAAATTGTATGTTTAAATTTAATCAGGAATAATAAATTGGATTATAAAGTTTTTGACAGCGTAATAATGGGCAATGTTTGTGTTGGACCACGTGCTAGTATATCAAAAAAAGAATAATTATAAATATCCGTAGCCCAATCATATTATAAACTAAACAAATAAATTGTTTTCAATACATTTTAAACCGTATACTTTTAAGATTTGAAGAAAAATATAATACAAAAACATCGCTCATTTTAGAAAAAATACGAAGCAATAGTAACGCTGTTTTCGGTGAAGTCAATGTTCTTCTTTTTTATGATCATATGCAATCATGAAAATATGCGGTGTCGAAAGTTGCTGGAGGAGCTGGAGAATTGATTTCGTCAGCCACGGATATTTTCGACCGAAATTAATTTGTGGCACTTGTTCAGTTTCTGCGAATTACCTCAAAATATGAGACTTTTGTAGACATATTGAATGGTCTTCGCGTTGGAGAATTGACAATGCTGCAGTTGTCCGTAATAGATAACCGAAAAGTATGTGCCGAAGAGTTAACAGGAGGATTCGATGATGGGGAAGCCATTAGGGTTTTTCTTTTAACTAAGCTTGTGCAAAATTATACTTCCACCGTAACTGAAAATCTAAAAAACGCACAATTTTTTCTAAGATTTAGAGTAGTAAGATTTTAGGTAGATTTGTCACTGAACCCTAAAATATACGGCCAAACTCAAAAAAGAATATGTATAGGTCGATCCCAATAAAACAGGGGGCATACCCAAAATCCATAAAGCTTGGTATTGGGGCATCAGCAATGTTAAGGTGCAATATAAATGTTAATCATGTACTAGTCAATGGTGCTATGGTGGTAATTCGTAACACAGTATGGCCTGCTTTACACCGAGATCAGCCAGAAGTGAGAGAACTGTCTCAAGCTGTGTTTCTTGAGTTTGATGACTCTAGCATAACAGTCAACCGACTCGGCATTGGTGTCCGCATGGAACATTGTACTAATGGATTTGATGCTTTACGTGTTAAAGAAAAGATCGAGTGACGTATGCTTCCACTAATTTTTAACTGGGCAGTGACAGTACATAAATTACAGGGAACAACTGAAGACTAGGCTGTTATTTATTTAAGCAGTAAAGGTCAGGCTTATGTCGTTTTAAGCCGAGTTAGAACACTCTCAGGTCTAACGATTAGTTTGCTAGAGCCTAGATAGTAATTACAATAACCACACGATAAAAATTCTCTTGAACAACTGAACCGCTTACGTAAATTAGTAATGTTTATAGCATTGTTGATATTCTTTTAAAAAAATTGTAATTTTCATGTAACGAATGATGATATAAGACTCTCTTTATTGTATTAATAAATTTGATTATATAGGATTAGGAGTATATAAAAGTACACTTGTGTGTGTACTTTTATATACTCTTACTACTACTACTACACCTTCCATCCAAAAGAAAAAAAATGTGACAATACAAGGATACATTTTTTTAGGCATCGATACATTAAAAGATGTTATTTTTGTAAATATTAGGAACAGTTACATTATAAAATAATATATAAGATATTTATTTTAGGAACATTTTTTAAATGATTATTTAATTTATATTATTTATAATTACGTAATATTAAGTAATCTACGGAAAGAATTAATAATAATAACAATAAATGTACTTAGAAAAAGCATATAAAATATGTTTTATTTATTATTGGATATACAATATTGTGCGGTTTTTATGTACTAATTTATTTTTTCCATTCTTAATTATTTTTTATGTTTGGTGCTACATCTTTAACAACTTTATAAGGACCCAAAGTATAGATCACTTAGTTTATTACCTGACTCTTTTTTAAGAGTACTAAATCATTTACATTCTATTTTATAGGCTTGGTATATTTATCAAATATAATTTTTCTCTTTTCTTTAGACTTTATCAAATTATTTCTTGCCTCTCTTTGTGACAATTAAACCTGTATTTAAGCTCACATGGATAACGATCGTAGTTATAAAGTGGCTCTAAATCTACTATCAAATTAGTAGAACATTATTTAACCAAAGACAAGTTCATAAGGACTGAATTTCGTCTCTGTATAAACTATCGTATTATAGGCAAACGACCAAAATGGTAACCAGTCGCTCCATGTTTCAGGGTGATTATCAATTTGGATGCGAAGAAAAAGCATTTAATTTTTTATGTGACATTTCCAACGCACCTAGTGATTGGTGGTGGTAAGCAGTCGAATTCAATTGTTTTATTTGAAGAAATTTACATACCTCTTGGAATAATGATGCAGTGAACTCTTTTCCTCTGTCAGTAGTAATTACTTTCAGTACTCCATACTTAAGAATAAAGTTAGTTACAAAACTCTTTGCTACTTCGTTGGTTTTTTTAGAAATTAAGGAATATCTTCGACATATTAGTGAGCATAAGAGTAATTTTATATATATATATATATATATATATACATATATAATTATCTACTTCAAATGGACCTACTAGGTCTAAATATATCTTTTCAAACGCTGTGTTAGCTGTCGTTGTTTTTTCTAATGGCTCTCTTACGGGTAACGAAAATTTCTGACGCTGACATTAATTTGTCACAATGCCTAACAAAGTTCTTTACATCCTTTTCTAACCCAGTCCAATAATAATAATTTTTTATATTGTTACCATACTTCTCATACCTGCATGGCCACTGCTAGGTAGGAGATGGAAGTCATTTAATATAGGTGATATTTCTGATTCTGATGATTCTGTCATCCTTATTATATATCGTTTTTACATTATTTATTATATGTACACGTGGACCGGTCCTATCATTCATAGATTTGACTTCTTCAACTAGTTTTTTAATAAATTCCTTATTACCATCCTTCTTTATAATACATACTTCATTAACATTTATTAACTTACAAAAATCATCTAATTCCCTCACAAACTCGCGTCGCGTCATTCGTGAATCGGAACTTAGATATTTAATATAAATTATCTTTTCCTTTTCAACATTACAAAATTTATTAATTTCTTTACTAATAACTCTTAATTTTCTCAATATTTTCAAATCATCTTTATTAACCATACGCATCTCCACTGATTCTGCTGGTTTGACATGATTACTTACGACATTTGGTTGATCAGGCCTCAAGTCTGTGGGTATCATGTCCAACGAGGATGATCCTGGTTTATTTATTTTTCGCGATTTTGCTCGTGTCATGACATTAACGATGTTCTCATTTAATTCTTTGATCTGTTTCGAACTCAAACATATTCTAGATAACGCATCTGCAGCTGCATTATCTGAACCCTTTACATACTCTACGTCAAAATTATATTCCTCTAATACTGCAAACGAAACTTCATAAGCCTGCTCGATGGATCTTTCATGCCAAATAGGTATACTAGAGGTTTATGGTCTGTCCCGATTTTAAAATATTTCCCATACAGATAGGGTCTGAAATGTTTGACGGCCCATATTATCGCTAACAACTCTTTTTCTATAACTGAATAATTTGATTCAGCCTTATTCAGAGATCTGCTAGTAAATGCTATTAGTCTTCCATTTTTATTCGACAGAACTGCTTCAATTGCTTTACCAGATGCATAGGTTTGTAAAATGAAATAATTTTCTTTTGAAAAATCAGGGTAATCTAAAACGGGGGGGAACATAATACGTTTTTTGAGTGTTTTAAAAGACTTTTGAAATTTTTCAGTCCAAACGAAATTAGTATTTTTTCTACAAAGTTGGTTTAATGGTTGCGCAATTTCAGCAAACTTGGGTATAAACTTTCTATAATAATTTGTGAACGCCACAAATTTTTTAACTTCGTCGGCATTCTGCGGACAAGGATAGTTTTTTTACTGTATTTATTTTTTGAGGATCAGGTAAAATCCCTTCGTTAGATATACAATGTCCCAAATATAATATCTGTTTTTTAAGAAATGTACATTTTGAAGGATTTCATTTTAAATTTACTACGAACGAAGTCTTTCAAAAACATCCTGTAAGTTTTTATTGTCGTGGTCTAATTGCCTACTAAAAAGAATGACGTCATCTAAATAAATTAAGCATTTTTCATTATTTAGTCCGGACATTGCTAAATTCATCATTCGCGAGAAAGAACTGGGACTTTTTTTTAATCCCATGGGCATTCTCGTCATCTGGTATTGACCAGAATTGAAAGCAGTAAATTTTCGACAACTTTTATCTAAATTAACATTGTAATACCCTTGGTATAAACCTAAATGTGTAAAATATACACTTCCAGACAAAGATTCTAAGATTTCTGTAATATCAGGGAGGGGGTATTTATCGTCCTCTATACAGTTATTTAATTTACGGTAATCCACTACCAATCGCCATATTTTATTACCCGATTCATCTAATTTTTTCACCAATAATATTGGGCTAGACCAGTCACTTTTACTAGGTTCTATAATCCCTTCTTTTAAGCATGTTGCTAATTTGATGATTAATTTCCTTTTTCTGACTAATTGGTAACCTACAGGGTTTTGAAAATACTGGACTAACGTTTGGTTTCAAAAAAATATTGTGAGTGTAAATATCTGTTGTTGTCAATTTATTGCCCTCTAAATAAAAAAAACATCTGCATATTTTGCACAAATATTTTGAATACTTTGAATTTCTAAGTCATTTAAATCATTTAATTTTAATGAGGAAAATAATCGTTTTACTCGGTCTGAATTATTCTCATTTTTCTCAAAACTACAAATATTATAATGGTTAAGGTCATGAATTGCAGGATTTATTCCTGACAATGTTACTGATTTTTCGGTAACATTTAATATTTTTGTTGGTATTTTCCCCCTAATTGGTGTCGCTATCGAGTTAGCCAAATAAACACCATCTTGTAATTCTTGTGAACAAATAATGCAATCGGTTTGAAAATCAGTTTGAATATAATGTATGTATTCACTTCTTGGGGGAATTTCCAATACGTTAATATTATAATTATTAGTGAAAGGCAAGAAACAAGTGTGTCCTGACCCTAACTTCAAAGATAAAATATTTTTCTCGAAATCTAAACACGCTCCAAATCTATTCAAAATGTCTCTACCTAGAATTCCATGCGACGAAATTGGTAACGAATTAAAAACAAAGAACTTGTGATTAATAACAGATCCATGAATCATTAATGGAACATAAACATATCCGATTGTTTGCACCTCGCCATCTAGACCGTTTATAATTACATTCTCTTTATGTAATGAAACACTTAATTCGATAGCATGTTTATATGTTACGGCGGATAAAGATGCGCCCGTGTCCACTAAGAAAGAATAAGTTTTATTGCATGATGAAACTGATAAATGAATAAAACAATTGCTATTACTATTTGCCAAAATTAAATGATTTTGTTTATTCTCGAAAAAAATTATCTAGTCGGGGTTCATTTGAAGTTGATTCCTGGTTTTCATTAATTATATTAACTATATTTCTTTTTATCCCTTGATTTCCGCGATAATTACGAAACGTACCTTGATTATATCGTCCTCGCTGTCCTTGGCCACGTAAGTTCGAGTGGTTCCATGAACTCGATCGCTGCGAGTTTCCATGGTAGTGTCCTCGCTGTGAAAACATTTGCCGATTACGCCCGTTGCCGCGTGGGTACCTAGAATTATGGTGAAAATTCCTAGGATAAAAAAATTCTCACTGGACATACCCATCACCTCTCCTGCGGCCGATGATGATGAAGTCTCTTCATCTTGAGCTGCTTGAATGGCATCTTTCAGAGAGCTGTAATTTCTAGCAGAAATTGTTGTGCTGATTGCTTGATCGCTTGTTTTTCATTAACATTTTTCAAAATATTGTAATATTTGGTATTACCGTTGGCTTGCGATATCGTAAGCTCCACAAATAACTCTGTTATTTGTTTTCCATAATCAGCAATTGACATATCATTTTGGCGTAATTTTTGCAATTTATTTTGAATTGCTGCTGCTCCTTTTCTTGGCAACAACTATTTCTGCATGTCACTAACCAAGTCTTCAACATTAGAGTAATCGTCTTGAAGGCGTAATT